TTTTTTTTTTACTCTGACTGACAGTTGTTAAGCTTTTTAAATAAGATTCCTTCAGTACGTCTAATAGTGGTAAGCCAACTTACTCTACATTCTATTTTACATTTTCAAATTTTGAAATGCATACACCCTTCATGTCTTCCTTTATAACTACAGGTTGTTGGGGGATCAGATGAGGATATACCTTCAGCTCCTTCAACTGGCCAATTGACCGTTGTAACTTACTCTAAACTTCATGAGCAGGTAACCTTTCAATGAAGCAGCTGTTTCACAAAATCAGTATTCATAATCATCAGACATTAATATTCAAAATAGCAATATTATTTTGACTGTTAATAAAAAGATTTGTTCATTTTATGTTTAATTGTAAAAATCAATGCAGTGAAGATATGTAATAATTTCAGATAAGCAGATGCCAGTGTGAATTTTTCATAGTAAATAAGAATTTGAAATAAGTATGAAACCTTTGAATATATTTAAATACTTTAAATTAATTCATACATTTTGAAAGGTTACTTTCACATATAGTGTGGGGTTGCTTAAAAAAAAAACATGCACACTGATAAGAGCATAAATGAGTCAAGGCAATTTGTGAGCCAGCTTGAGCTTGATTTGATAAATGGTTCATGAATGGAGCTCGACTAGCTAACTAATAAAGATCGATGAGCTAACGATTTGAGGCAGCCCCGGTCTACTTGTTAGCTCGCGAGTTGGCTTGTTTAATGAATATTAATATTAAATATATTTAACATAAATTATTAATAATTTATATTAAATTATATACTTATATGTAAATTAAAATTATATTAAAAATATTATTTTAATAATATTCTTATTTATTATATCATCCAGTTTGATCCCAGTATAACCGGTCAAATCGTGGACCTTTGTCTCAAACGAAGCCTAAGTTAAATCCACCTATTATGAAAAGCAACCAAATGAGGACTTAATCTAATATTAATTTTACTAATGCATTCCCAAAAAATGAGAAACTTTTAAGTCCATGGAAGTTCCCCCATAGAGTCTAATTTACCTCCCAATTGGCCAAAAGAGAATCCCCATGCCAAATACGCCAAAGTAATTTATATTTAAAACCAGCTGAGAGGAATATTGGAAGGTTCTTAAAAGGATGTTTTTAAGGTTTCGTTTGTGACGACTTTCTTACTGCTTCTTAAAGCCGCTTTTCTGTAGAAAAATTTAAATTTTTGTACTGAAAAGCTGCTTTAAGAAACAGTAAGAAGGCTCTGTCCCAAACGAAGCCTAGATCTCTAAAGCAAATGAGATTATCAATTGTAGCTTCATCAAAAAGAGCACGGTATTGGCACAAGAGGTGGTAAATGTAGGCGTGAATGGATAGGAAAATCAAGGAGTAAAGAGAGCTCGAAATGTTGGCTTCGAGAAAATGAAAATGTTGAAGGTATACTCTTAAACATTGACACAACACAACCTCAAAGTGAATAATTGAGGTAACAAAATACCTAGAAATCACGAGTAAAATTGTGAAAGGACTCATGGCCCAGTAATTGAAGAAGAAGATTATTTTTAGTGACACAAATTCATGGAATTTATTACTTATCATTAAAAAAATCACGAGTTAAATCTGTCAACCATCATATCTATCAAAAAGAAAAGATTATTTCTAAAGATGTTAGACACACGCATAAAAATACTATAAGAATACCTAGAAAATCATTGAGAGGATTAGGGCTTCTTGGAGGTGAAGGAGATCATCCTGAGAAATTGATAAAAATAAAAATGTAATATCATAAAATTTTTATGTATTTACATATCAAACATTTAAATCTTAATATTTATTTAAATCCTACTTTAATATATAAATTATATCAAAACATATGCATATGAATATTTATTGTATTTCAAATTAGTTAATAGTAAAGATATTTTGTATATGATTTAAAATTTTGAGTGTTATAATTGTAAATAAACAAATTTCATGTTTGATATATAAATCGATAAAAATTAATAATATAAATGTTCGGTGGGTTACGTGAAAATTGGAGTGGAGCAGGCTACACATTTATCTCTCGAGGCACATCTCACCACATATATAGAGTCATCCGAAGCAGCATCTTAGGCGGCAATTGGAAACCCTAGCAGAACGAACGAGCTTCTTCCTTTAAGCGTGAGAGCGGCGGAAAGATGAGCCGAGCAGGGAGCGGGGCTGGCGCGAAAGGTGGGAAGAAGAAGGGCTCTACCTTCGTCATCGATTGCTCGAAACCGGTGGAAGACAAGATCATGGACATTGCGTCCCTTGAGAAGTTTCTCCTTGAGCGGATCAAGGTAGCCTCGCTTGGCGGCAAGGCCGGCACTCTTGGTGATGTCGTGTCCGTCAGCCGCGAGAAAAACAAGATCACTGTAACCTCCGAAGGTCCCTTTTCCAAGCGGTATGACTTCCTTGTTGTGTATCTTTTAATGCTGGTTGGAGATCTAATGCTATTGAAGCTATCTGAATCTGGATTATTACATTTTTTTATGTGATTTGGGATAGATGTCATGATTCAGTTTTCTTTGTCCTGTGGAGATGGGTTTCTGGAACATATTAAGCCAGTATTTTGGTTTGTCATTGTTATATCAATGAAATTTCGGCTGGGTGGAAGTTTTCTGAACTTACAAAATCGGGCCCTTGTATGTATTTTTGTTCCTGGTTTTAGTATGAGTTTTGATAGATAAATATACTTGCTAGTTTAGGGGGTTGGGGGAACCCTTGAATCTCTCTAATATTTTTTTTTTCACTATTGATTTGACTGTGAGTTAGAAGCTTTGAATTTCTAGCTCCGTTGGCACCATTGACTGGATGTATTTGATACAGAATCTTGGAGTGTATTCAAATGGTTAGTGTCTGCTGTATATGTGCAAAACTGCAAAGGTTTCTTATTTATGTAGTTTATGATTAAGAAATTCATCCTCTAGTCATCATAAGCATGGTCCATGTAACATTAATAGCTATTCAGGATGCTGTGGAGGATTCTTGTGAATATATTGTATGAGTATAAAAAGGTTGGTTGGATTGCAGTATGATAGTTTGATGTGTAAGTTCACATTCGCATGAATTCTATCGAATGCATTAGCAGACCATATATTTTCCCTTCATTTTTTAAGTTACATGTTAAAATGACCATGTAATAGAATTAGAGGCCACCTTTGTGGGTTGTGTTCGACCTGTGATGCTGTGAGCTTTCTTGGTGTTAAAAGAGTTGATATACAGTCCTTAAACTTTCTTGTATCCTATACATCAACAACAAAAACAACATCGAGCCTTTATCCCACTATGTGGGGTCGGCTACGTGAATTCTTTTTCTCCATTGTGCCCTATTAAAAGTTAAATTTTTATTTAAAAAATATTAAAGAAAGGTCATTTTTAATATTTTCTAACCAAATCTTTTTAGGTCTATCTCTATCCTTCTTAACATAAGTCAAATCTAATACATCTGCCTTCCTAACCGAGTCATCGGAAGGCTGCCGTTTTATGTGACCAAACCATCTAAGGCGACTCTCTCTAATCTTATCTTCCACTGGAGCTACTCCAACCTTTTCACGTATATTCTCATTTCTTATCCTGTCTCTAAGAGTAAAACCACTCATCCACCTGAGCATCCTCATCTCTGCAACACTTAACTTAATGTTATGCTTCTCTTTTAATGGCCAACATTATGCACCATAAAGCATTGTAGGTCTAATCACCAGCTTATAGAATTTTCCTATAAGTTTGAGGGGACTTTTCTATCACACAACAAGCCCGATGCATTCCTCCACTTCAACCATCCAATTTGAATTCTACTAATAATATCTCCATCTATTTCACTATCAATCTGAACAATAGACCCAATATATCTAAAACATGTACTCTTATTAATGACTTGATCACCCAAAGTCACAATCCTCCACTAGAACTATTCTTACTAAAATTATATTCTATATATTTAGTTTTAGATATATTCAAACAAAAGCCTTTAGACTTTCCTTGTATCCTATAAGACGATAAATCCTATAAGATGGGCATTGCCAAAGGTAATCCAGTTTTGGCACCGTGCACATTGAGTTCTGCTGGTGCACGGGATATTTCAGAATGGATACATCACCACTGCCTTGTGTCAGATTGCAATGTTCCCCAAAGCCTGGTCAGTTGTTTTTTTTGACTAAGGTTCATCTAGTTTCTTTTGAATCTCTTTTTTTTTTTTTTAAACTACAAAATGTGAAGAGCAGTGCTTTCTTGCATTTTAGATTGTGAGAAACTTGAAAAGCCAAGTGTTTCACCCCTGAATGCTGGTGGATACATGCCATCCTTCTTGTTTGGGTCCTAGTATAAGGTTTTGTGCTTGAATATTGCTAGCTTAAAATCCATTACAAACTGCGAGAGAGGTGTTGCCAACATTCATCTTTATGTTTATAAAAGGTGCGAATAGTTCTCTTTAAGGCATTGTTCAATGATTGCTTATAATTTTTTTAGTATGCATCATCTTTGCTAATTTCTCCCTTTTTTTCATGTTGCTAACTTATCCTATGATACTAGTAGTGTAGAAAAGTTTTATTGTTTCACATCATGAACGTGCTGTTTTTTATTTGTTAGATTAGATTGCAGCTTTGCTCATTATTAGCATTAGATATGTCATGTGTGATATCCTTGGATATGACCCATCCTATGTATACTTTGTGGAGGTTTGATTTCAATCAATTTTTATGATTCTCTAGCTTTTATCTTTCCATATGGCAACAATATCCCTGAAAAAAAAAAACTACTTAAGCATTATAATTATCATTTATCTTATCCCAACTATTTGAATTTAGCTTAATGAATTGCCATTCTTCATTCATTTCTATTCAGTGTTGCATGAGATGTTAATCTTAATTTGTATCTTTCTTTTTGTACAATTGCTTACCACTTTACTCATCATCCACCATTTTAATCCTTTTATATTATTTTAATCTATCAATTCTCCCTCGGTTTTACATGTCTAAATCTTCATGTATAATTTTCATTAATTTTGTTTAATAGGTGCTACTTTGTTCCGGGCCTCAATGCGGGCCTCAACCAAGTTGAGGCGCAAGCCTCATAAAAAAAACTCAAGTCATAAGCATCGAGGCGTTTTTTACTGGAATTGCGCAAAGGCGGGCCTCAAGGCGAGCCTCATATTGCGCAATTTTAAACCATGCTTTGTTCATCCCTATAATATAACCATTTAATATTATATCTTTAGTGTTACCACACATTCATCCCGATATCTTTTTTTTAGGTCTCAATCTTTCAAATTGAAAATCCTTTATGTTCAAACACCTGGATCCATATAGCATAGTTGGTATAATTGTAATTTTATGATATTTTACTTTTGTATTGTTGTAATCTCGAAACACCTCTATTTTAGTCATGCAACTTTAACGCTTGAAGTTATATTCTTATACACATCCTTATGTGTTTATATAATATCCTTATATGTTTATATAATAGATTCATTATATGTATCATGTCTTACATTCATATGATTTTCTATTGATATTGATGAATTTTTATCAATTTTACACCCGATATCACAAATGATATATTCATTCTTTGCTTTATTAGTTTTTAGCTTCTTATCATCTAACAACCTTCTATATTCTCAACTTAATTTAGCAGAGATTTCACCTATTAAATCTATATCATTACTAACTGAATATGCCTGCCTTTTATGAATGCCTTGTGTGCGCATTTGTATAACCAATGAAAATATATATAGATTGAATATTGATCTTTAATGCACTTCTATTGCGATTGGTAATTCTTTGGTTGCTCCTTATTTAATTCTAGACTACTCTATACCCCATCTTCAACATACCTTTAACGTTTTAGTAGTGTGAATCTAATTTGTTTTCGTGTCACTAGATTGTATTATGCTTTCTCATGATCAAACTTTTAGTTTTTCTACGGTCAGATCTTTATTTTTTAGAACTCGTTTTAGATTGTTCATACTTGATACCCAACTTACAGTCCTTTTCATCTCTATTGTGGTTAGGGGTGGTGTGCATCCTTTGAATGAAAAAAATCAAATCAAACCAATCTTATTCCATTGATTTGGTTTTGTTTGTTAAAATATTGTTTCTGTTATTGTTGTAAATTTGATTTTTTTTCTAGTTTTTTGGTAATTGAATCGGTTTTTTTGTTTTTTGAATCGATTAAACTAAAAAATTCTAATATGCCAGTTACTTTAAGTATTATATCAATATATCCCCTGAACATGTGATTGAAAGATGAACATAAATATTATTTATTTCATATGTTAAAATTATAAAAATTATCAAATGATATTTGATTTTCTTCTTAATTCAGCTTATTTAAGCTTAAGATAATCAGATTATTGTTGAAATTATATATCAGTTCATCCAGAGCTGAACCAACTGATCAAACTAAAATTTCTTCTGAAAGTAGCTCAAACAAAAATTCTTTTTGATAAATAATTTGAACGATTTGAAAGTAGTTCAAACAAAAATCCTTTTCTTCGCAGTTATCTGAAGTACCTGACAAAGAAGTATCTAAAGAAACACAATGTGCGAGACTGGCTCCGTGTGATTGCTTCCAATAAGGATCGTAATATTTATGAGCTGAGATACTTCAACATTGCAGAGAATGAAGGTGAAGAGGAAGATTGAAGAGAGCAGTGAGTGTATTGCTTTCCATATATTTCTGCTTAGTCTTGAATTTGAATTTATGATAATCCTGGAATTTTGATATTTTAATTTTCAGATGTTTGTTGTGACATTATTAATCACATTTTTTTTCTTTATTATTTCCCTATTTATTGCTAGACAAAATTGTGTAGACTTGGTTCAGCTGTGAGTGGACTGTTGGAATTGTTTGTGGATTTTTCTCTTTATTGGTGCATATCATTTTACTCAAATTTCACCTAATATTTTGGGAATTTGCATGCATCAGGTAAATTTTTTTATTCACATATTTAATATATCATGTGGAAAATAAAATTAGAGAGAGTCGTCAAAGATGGTTTGGTCATATAAAATATTGGCCTTTTGATGGAGAGATTATTACGTGGGGTATCCGGATTGGTCTCTTGAAAGTCCGGCATCTGCATGTAATAATTTTTCCTTTTGATGACATAGTTAAGAGATTATATGTATTAGATTAAGCCTATATTAAGAAAGATAGAGGTTAACTTAAAAAACATTTGGTTAGAAAGTATTAGAAATAATTTTTATTTATTCTGTTTGACTTCTTTGTTTTTTTTTTTAATTTTCTTAATATTCTGCCCCTATTCCTATTTTAAATTATATATCATGCTCGTATTTATAATATTTTGAATTTTAATTCATTAAGAGGGTCCATTTGAACTGATGAGAGTTGACAAGAAAGATGGCAGATGAAATCGTGCAATTATCTTAAAAATGGACATGCTGAAAATTAGCCACATTAATCTGCTACTTGTAGCGTATAAGATTATTGAAGCTACTATATTTTTAGCAACTAATTATTTAAACATGTAATAAATATACGCAGCTTATCAAAACTAAACTTCAATCATAAAATAGATTATTAAGATTTGTAATATTTATTATTTGTTGTAAAACAAAATATTTTAAAATAATTATCTGTATCATATAAATTTTTTTCATAATAATTTTCTTACAATTATCATATTTTATCAAATTTGACTATTAAATTCTCTCTCAATATCTATGTTTTAAAAAAAACATTAAAAATTATAATTAAATAAAAATATGGTACCAACATTTATAGCTATCCCAAATGCACGCTCTTTCCTAAAATTTTGCTATTGTAGAGTACATTATATTATTGTTATTTGATTTTTATTACACAAGGTTTGTTGCTTTACAATAAAGCTAGATATTGTACCCACCATTACTTCGTGCTCGAATCCCCTCAAATGACGACGACTCTTAAGTGGAGCCCAATCAAGTGCGGGTCAAAAGATTTCTGAGATTGGTGCTTCCTTTAGGTCAGCCGATGGATTAGTTACACTGTCAAACGTCTCCTAAGAGGGTGACAACATATAGATACCCCCGTTCCAAAAAAAAAACTAGATAGGCTATACTGAAAGACCTGCACAAATAATTGAGGAGATAAGGCTAAGAATGATGTAATTTTTATGTTCAGATTAGCAACACTTACAAGTGATGTTGTTAATAAGACTAAAACTTATTACTTGCAACTTTAATTACAAATCATTAAAGAAAAAAGCTCAGTTACAAGAGAAGGTCGTCATGCTTCAGAAATATCTAGCTGTTCATTTACTTGGTCTGATGATTCCCTCGCCTGCGCTTGGATCTCCTCTGCATCTGCTGGTTGAGATTCGTGCTTTGCAGCAGCCTGAAGAACCCTATCTTGAACTGCTGTAGACGAAGGAGAAGTTGGCAGGCCAAGCATTTTGGGCTCCAAAATCCCTGTGATCCAGGAAATGGTGGCCACTCCGAGTGTAACTGGAGCTAGCAGCAGCCTGGAAACAAGATTTGATTGCAAGGAGAATAAGCATGACCATCAATGGCTCTCAGATTAGTTAAAGTTTTGGACAGAAATATATGAGGAAACTTGTTTAAAAACTATTAATATAAAATATATTTACAATGTATTAAAATCTGAGCATTTAGGTATAAAATTATTAAAAATATTTTTTTTAAAAAAATATCCTCTCCCCACTTTATATGAGCTGATTTCTTATTATTTATCATCTAATTTATCATTCTTGTATTACTTTATTACAAAAATTACTTTTTTTTTTGGACATTTAGGCCATTTAAGGCAAACTCATACACACAACGCATACACAAAGAATCGAACCCAAGACCTCTTAGTTGGAAGCATAAGCTTTCAACCAACAGGCCAAGGTGAGTTGTGTTTACAAAAATTATTTGAATTGAAATACTCGTCCCCCAACAACTAAAATCCTTCCGACATATATTGCTCGTAGACTATGATCCTACTGACCAAACGAACATGTCAATATTGATTATAGCAACTCCCACCATGTAATGGACAATATATGATGTATATTGGCTACATCAAGCCAAGACCTTCCCCCTAAGGAAGGGCATCATTTGTAATCAACTACAAACACTAGTAGATTCATTTAAACTGGGCAAGATCCCGTGGTTTTTCCCCTTTATCGGAGTTTCTACGTAAAAACTCTGGTGTCTCATATAAACGCTGCATTCCTATTCATTCGTACATTGCTAGGACTTTATATTTCTCTACCGCCGCGAATATTTTAGAACGCAACAAAGACTTCATTTAAGATGACCGGATCTAGGTGAGAACTGCCAGCGCTCAGTCATTAAGATGGTTTTGCATGATAGAGTGTCCATTGGCATCATATGTATTTTACAACTGATTTCTCACCAATGTAATTTCTAAAAGAAAGCTGCAAGACTACTAAAAGAAAAACAATGTTAAATTACCTCACATCTCGTTTTAGATCATCAGAGTCTTTGTATGAAGCAACACGTCGATACAGAGTCTAGCAAAGAACATAACACATCAAGTTCAGAATACATACTAAAATAAAAAGAAGAATGCTGTCACATCCTCATATGATTTTGCTAGTTGTAACTACCGGAAATAATAGGCGAGACAGACTTATAAGTTATAAACCATACAATGAAGTTGTAGGACACAGTAATTTATTATGGAATTAAAAAATTACATTAGTATCATAAAATTAGTTGGGATCATACAGAAAGAACTGATATAAATGCAATTTTTGTGCAAGAAAATGAATGAAGAAATATAGATCAAATAAAAGAACTTTATATGATTTTAATGATCTTGGGAATTGATTTGGTATGCATTAAAGAAAAAAAAAAGTATATCAAAGGTATATTTATTTTATAAGAAATGTGATGAAGTATTGGTTATTAGTAATACATCGGTGTGATTGGAATAAATATCTTAAATTTTTTATAAGAAAATGAGGGCATCACATCAACAATTTAGACTAGTTAGTTAAAATGAAATTTCTCATATATATGAGATTGTATTTAAATAATGGATTGATTGTATGGTTATATTTTCGATTTAGATACTCTGATTTATATTTTGATGGACATAAACAGCGGCTGAATCAGCTTCAATTTTGAGGGGGAAAGATATAAAATTACAAAAAATTGTTAAGAAAAAAAAGTTAAGCAAGAAAAATGATGAAATTAAATTGTCATGAAAAGTATGAAAGATAACATTAGAATTAAATGTAAATAAATACATATACATTTTAGGGTATGTATTTCTAAACTAAAGTTTTTGTATAGAAAAAGAAGTCTTCATTAAAGAGAACTGCAGCAACGGCAGGGAGCCGAGAACGTGAACCTATACTGATTAACAACCGATTAAGACTTGTCATAATTAAGATTAGTGCAAAAAGGCTTTTTAAGCGGGGTGTTTGGAAAGAATATTGGGCAAGTTAGGACAAAAGGGTTTTTTAAGGGGGAAAAAGTGAATTTTTTACACATTGCTTACTCAGGAACACAATTTAAATGTTTAAAATACTCATTCACAATCACGAAAAATAATTTAAAAGAAAGGGCATCAATTTTTTTCTGAAGAAAAGAAGAAAACATGAGCTGAAACAAAAACGATTACCTGCCCAAGACCGACAATACCAATAATTTGCAATGTCTTCTCCCACTCTGCATAGAAGTTTACAGCATAGTCAGAAACAATTGCTTAAGAAAAAAAGAATAGTGATCTCATTATCTTTCAATCTTTAATGCTAATTGAATCACTCAATTAATAGTAAGCCTAATTTTGTACACAAAATTGACAACCATTTGTTAAGAAAAATTTTACTTAAGCATAAAACGAAGAGAAGTTGATTAGAATTGTTCCCAATTGTAACAGAGAAGAAGGGTTCAAATCTTTCACCAAAAAAAAAAAAATCCTGGTTTTAAATCCTACTCCAAAGCAGTTTAATGATTCAACATGATAAAGTTATTTGTGCTTAGAGATTGCATGAACAAACTTTTACATTGTCGAACACCTTGGTAATATAATCCATCTGCCTGCTGGAGTCTTCAAATATTACATCATATTAAGTTGAATGAAACAATTTGGTTTGAATGATGTTATGTTCAACAGGCCTTGCATGCCCACTCTTTATTTGGATATGCTTTGGTTGAATGCGATATTCATACACAATGTCTTTAATTTTTGTTAAAAAATGGAAATAAACTAGTTAAATAAAAAGCTTAGATGGTAAGCTTTGAAGAAGACCACATACCTACACAAAACTTGTTTTTTAGTTAACTGAGGCAGGCAAAGAAAATAATTTTTCGGAAGTTTATAAACTAATTTCACCATTATATAGCCTTATTCGCAAGCAGACCTATAAAACCTTTGACAAACTATATAGTACTTCTCTTTGCTAAATCAGATGAAAATAAATTTATTGAAAATTGCTTCCATATATTTTTATCTATGTTGAAGTTGCACCGACAGTAAATTGCTTACCTAGAAAAGCATAGATGGCCACAATAGTGCCCTACAAATAAGCATCATAAGTTAGCAATGACTGAGAAGACAATTGAATTTAAGAATCTGATATTAGCATGAGTTCCAAAAAAGAATGAAAAGCATGTTTCAACCTGTTTAAGTATCGTAGCTTTCTGGAATAAAGAACATGATTTTTAGTAACGCAAGAAAGATTAATAAGTGAAGAAGCGAAGGATTTTCTACAGAAAATTTTAATTTTTTGTTTAAAAAATGTACTCATGAATTGCGATCTTACCAGCCCATATCCAATAAATTGCACTGGGGATGGTTTAATATCTTCAAGGATTGCTTCCACTTCCTGAATAAGATTTCCACAATTGTTTGCTTGAGGTGTAAGGAATCTTTAGAGAAACAAAAAATTAACTTCTGTAGCACTCAAACAAATAATGGTAAGTTAGAAAATTACAAGTCAAGAAAAAATTTTCAAACTTCAAATGGAAAATAAAATATGGGCATCATTTAGCATGAATCTGAAATACTGAATATGCCATATAAAAACCAAAGAATCTCCTTATAGGAGAAATTATGTAATTGTTAAGACTCAATTCAGTGACGCATGAGCGACCAGGAATGTTTAGCCCTTTATATAAGGGTAAGGGCATGATAATATGGATATTGCATATGTTTTTCCATGGAAGAAGAAAAGTATAACATGTTAGCATAACCAAGAAACAAATTGTGAGAAACACTTTTGATAAGTCGAAGTTTAAATATTACAATTTTCAGCATATTTCGGGGAATTTACTGTGGGCGTCAAAAAATGACCCAACCCGTCAACTCAAACCGAAAAATCCGAGTTCGAGATTCGAGTCCGGAATTCCAACCCATTTATTAAACTAATCGGGTTTTGGTTGACTTACCAACCAGATTTTGGCCTGTTTAAATTATTTTTTTCCTTTTTTCATTTGTTGGTATGATTGTCTTATTTTTGATTAATTAATCTAAAATTTATTGTTAAAATTTTTATTTTTTTTAATTCAAAATGGGTTATCAAGTCAGGTTTGGGTCATTCAGATTGCTGGTGGGTCGGGTTCAAGTCTGCATTTGGACCGATTTATTAAACAGGTCGTGTTCGAGTTGACTAGATTAGGGTCGAGTCAATTTTGGATCGTACCTAAACCCAACCTATTGACCCATTTTGACACCCTTAGGATTTACAATACACCGTTCTTGATTAAGCAAGTATTGTAAGGAAAAAAATGATAGAAAATAAACTAGGAGGATTTTTAGTACCTCATTCAATATAGTAAGAGCAGTTTCTGGTCTAGGTTCTTTAATGCGGAGTCCTTTTCTTATCCACGCTTGGAATCCGCCTTCAACAAAATAAGGTTCCTATACTCAAACATTAAGTCAAAGAAAATTAATTAGAAATAAAACACACTTGAAACCTTTCTGTAAATACTCACCTTCACACCAAGTTTTTTTAATGATCTTGCTATGGCTTTAGATCTACCAGCATCAGAATCCATGACAACAATCTTTGTTCCTTTCTATTTTAAAGAAGAGAACAACGAAACATATTACTATTTTTGTAAAAGAAAGATTGGCATAAGACATCACAATGACACACCTTACTGTTCTTGAAATTTCGTATGACCACGGCAATTAAGGCATAGTCAACCTCTCTACCCCCTTTTAGCAGTTTTCTGATTAAATCATCAATCTGTAAATGTAATAAGACAAGCAATATGATAACCAACAAAAATTCAGAGAGAAAATAAACATCCACTCCTTAGTCAAAAAACATCCTGTGAATGTAAATAAACTACAGAATGCTTCAAGATGATACTGATATGTACCAAAGAACACTGAGGCAGATAAAGGATTTAAAATAAACAAGCAATCATCCTGACTGCTATACGTACTGAACAGAATTGATGGATTTCAAACAGGAAATTGACAAACCTCAATGAGATTTATACTTGCATATTTAGACCTCGCTGCTCGCCGAAGATCAGGAATACCATCTCTTTCTTTTAAAGCCTACATAAAAGCAGAAGTTTAAGACAAAATACTAAGGCAATCTCATATGAAGAACTCTTATTTGACATGCTTTTCACAGCTATGCTTTGTGAAGAACAGTTGATTTCTTTCATATTAAGGGGAAAATGAAACAAAATACTAAGGAGTACACCATAGAGTGTTGTGCTGACAACATTAAAGAGAGTACACAATGCGCAAAGCTCCCACCAATATGATTTCTGTAGAGGTATTGATATATGCAGTCTTACCTTGTCTTGCAAAAAGGCTATTATCATGACTCAAATTCATGATTTCTATGTCTCGATAAAAACAACTCAACCATTGATCTTAGACTCTCCCTATATAACGGTTCTCAATAGTGTTGATAAACTCAAGTAAAATGGGAAACTTGCATCATAGCACTATATTTATGTACCAATTGCAAAGGAGTCCTTCATTTATGAAAACTTATCACCTATATCCCTATATTTTAGTCACATGCATCTAGTCTTTTTAAAACAAATATGTGAAAAGTTTGCATTAATATGTATACCAAATTAGTCCTTGATATAAATTTAGAGCCAAATATTCCTAGACAACTCTTGTAGTATTATAGTAGGTTTTCATATGGGTTTTCTTAATTATAACTCATAGCCAAACTGCCAAAATGAAAATATCATCAGCCATTTTAAGTCTATGAGCCATTCTGGAGTTCCATTGCTATTGATACAACTCATTATGCGCAAACACCATATCTCTGCACAAAGGAGTTCTGTGTTTGTGAAATAGTTGCATCCATAACTCAAGTTAAAATTGCAAATTTCAATCCTCCATCATTGACCACAAGCTTTCATCATCTTATTCCTATCAACTCCAGGTCTTGCCCACCTACATAACTAAAGCATAATTAAGATGGTAATTATTGCTTGTATCATTTCTAAAGGTATAGCGGATAAGTAACTTGTACTTGTTGGTCTATGCTTATGAGCCATGAAGCATTATAAATCAAATTAGTTGAAATTGGCAATAGCAGCAAACGTCGGATGCAACAATGCACGAAGCATAATACCTTGATTGCTATCAAAATCATCAATCATCCTCTGATTCATGAAACAGATGGCATAAATACATCAAGAGCATTAAAATTACTATGTGATAACCTCTCGAGATCGATTCAAACAAACACAATGAGAATGAAGCTTAACTAATATGACATCGCAAAAATCATGTTCAAAATGCCTCAACCACGATCAAAGTCTCTCAAACAACGTCCATTGTGAAATGGAATGCGTCAATGAATCAAAATCATCAAAGAAAGTACCTCATGCAATCAATTCTATCAATCTCAACCAAAATGTCAAACAACGGACATAACATCGCTCAATAGTCATTCAAACGTCACCGTTCACAAAACGAAATGCGCCGACATGTCCAAAACATTAAAATTACATATAGAGACGCTCATATTGTCTTGTATACTACATGAAAGTGAAGCATGAGATTCACTCATGCGTCGGGCCATGCACATAATTCAAGTGCGAGAATGACATTTTGTAGAAAAACAATACACACATAAATGTGTGTTATAAAGCTTAATAAAATCAAAGAATTATAATTTTATAATTATATAAATATCCTAAAGTTAAAATTATTAGTCATTTAAATTATATTATATTAACTAATATATATTATAAAAAATCAATAAGAGAAAGCCTCATGCCTTTCAAAACCCCCAAATTCCACTAACCTGCCATTTATTCTGCTGCGTAAAGTCGTGTCCTCCTTCCCATCCAAAAAAATAATAATAATCCCGCTACTTTGTCACAAGCAAAGAAAAAAAAATGATAAGGGGTTGTTGGTCTCCCTCTCGATAATTTCTCGAAACCGCACATGCCCTTGTCTCCATCTCCAGCTCCCTTCCTCTTCACACAAAAAAAGTATATCCTAAACCGGTTCCCTCTCATTCTCGAAGCAAAATGCAAACTCTTCTCTTCTTCAAACCCCAACATCACCGACCATCGATCTTCCCTTCTCTCCATAGAACCTAATGCCAACTTAACCTTCTCCCCTTCACCGCTCCTAGACTGCAAGCAATAGCCACCATCATCCCTATTATGTATCTTTACCTATTGTCTTCATCCATGAAGGCCTATATGGCTTTCTTAAGTGCAGTGGAATATAAAAACCCCAATCCCGATGTCTCATGACACCAACTAGGCATGCTTTTTTAAATGTGATAGGAAGATATCTCTTACGTGAGGGAGACACTAGGAGATTGCTAAAAAGAACTATGAATAAACCTGCAAGGGCAAGCAATATAGCCTACTTGAACATGATAGAATTAAATGAGGAAGCAAATTACACAAAATGAACAAGTCTGAATATGCCAAGAATGCCATGTAAACCATATTGAAGGAACAAAATAAATAGAAATAAATGAACTTATAAGGGACTTGCAATGCACTTGAAAGCTTGTAGCAAACACAACAACTCACCCACCTGCATAGATGAGGGTGATAAGTTAAACCCACCAAGTATAGTTGTCTATTCAAAATCATGAAGAAGATCAAAGATAATGTCTATTGGTTGGACAGACTTGTGTACATGTAAATCTAGTCAATAGTAAATATGAAAAATAAGATGCCATTCAAGACTTACTGCACAAAAAGTTGGACGACAATGCACAAAAAATTATACCTCCTCTAGGTGACCTACTGACTGGCCAAGAGGATCAGTAGAAGGAAGACCAACTCTTGGAGAAAAAAGCAAAACCACCCACTAAGGCACCTAGATGCTTCCTTTCCTCTAGCTTGATTCACAGGTGAGAACCATCTCTTAAGAAGGGGCCATATGATCAGGAGATCAAGTGATTTGATAATATAAGGACTAATCTAGGCAACATGGTAGCTAAGAAGAGGACACATGATGCCCAGAGGATTAAAAAATGAGAATAGATCTCAAAATGATATCTGTTAAATTCTCGAGAGCAATATATGAAGTACCAAGAGGTTCATGACCCAAGAGCTAGAGATCAAACAGAGGCCAAAGATATGAGATAATGTTGTTCCCTAGAAGACCTATGGTCAAAGAGTAATGATGACAATCTAAAAACCCCATTTTGCATTTGCAACACCAATAATGGGCGCCATACCTCACAACTTTCTTATTTATTGTCATGATTTATGTAATAAATGTATCACAGATTGTATGACATACCATATTAAGTGTAGCCCATATTATGACCAACATGTACTATCCTATAATGAAAAGTCGGATGTGACATAGTACATCTGCTAGTAGTAAAGAGTTTTCTTCGACTTAAGAAAAGATTGATTGATGTGCCTCGAGTCTTCTGGATTTGAGAGAGTGCGTATTCAAATAGCATGAGAGAGGGAATTTCTCATATATTTACCTAATTTAATCGTTAATGACATTGTGTATATAGTTTCTTTGCTTCACATAGAATTCAGACTCGCCTTGAGTCACTTTGTGTGACTTTTAGGCATGGCGTCTCATTGATGATGATTCTATTTGATTTAAAATTTCTTGCAAAGCAAATGATTTTATGATCTTGAATATTTTTAGAAATGAATTTATACATTTCTAATTTTTATCCAAAGAGACATCCTTTTTTCATGAACTAATGTGGTTAGACTGTGAATCCAATTTTATGTGCAAGTTTTGTTCATCTCATTCTAGATCTACATCAATCCTAGACTCTAAGACATCTTGCATCACCTTATGCACTGCATATGCTCTTTTTCTAAAACACTTTGATGAAATTGTTAGCAAATTTGTTTTGGAATGCACCTGACCCAGCTGCAACATGGCTTTAACAAATAGCACTTAGGTGCCTAGTTTGAAAGAACGCAGGGCATGTTGCAATTATGTCTTAAATATAGGTACCTAGATGTAATTTGCTGCACTAAATAAAAAAAGCATAGCCTAGCGCATTGAAAAAGGCATATTGTTAAGAGAATTCTACAAACCATAGCAGATGCCTTTCATGTGAAATGTCTTTAAGTGCTACTAGAACAGAAAAGGCTGCTGAAATTTACAGTTTCTTGCCTCGGGCCGGACATCGACAAGCAAAACATTTTTATCATTCTTAAGAAGCTCTGAAGTTCTTTCAGGAGATAAAGAGTACCCATCATATCTGTAGAGCCAGTATGATATTCTGCAAATAATAATAATAATAATAATAATAAATGAGAAACTTAAGAAAAATAAACATTTTACATTTCACAAGACTGATGGAGTTAGTTATGTTAGTCTGCAAATCCTGGAAAGGCAAAGGAACTCACCCTATAGTGGTTGTAGTCCCAATCAACAATAAGAATGGAACTAATGGATCATTAGGGTCTAAGCCAAGATTTCTCTCAATTTCTTCGATGACCTGAAAAACCATAAATGGATAATATAGAATAAATATTTGCATTCTAAAATAAAAATATGAGAAAAGAAGTTAATTGTGATTTATCGTGTACACCTTCTGAAAAGCGGCCCCAATTGGACTTAGGCTTTGGGTAACATCATCTTCAAAGATGTTTAATGCATTTCTTATATCTAGTGGAAGGAATGTCTTTGCAGATGCGTAAGCATAAAGAACAAATGTTACACCATTTGAGATACCATCCTCTACACCAATGATTATCCATCGTAGACTGTCAAGAACTACAGCACCTGCCTTGGAGATATTTTCTCCCAATTTGATTGAGAACCTGGCCAATTTATCACTGGCTTGTCCCTTGGTATCATCAATAGAAGAAAATAAGCTACTTCCTATACCATCATAAGTTTTTGTGACACCGTTCACCGTATCTGACAGTGATAACTTCCATGCATTGAGTGTTGTCGTCAGAGAGTCTTCAACTCTATTTAGCAGTTTGTCCACAGATTCCTCAATTCCAGAGAAGAAACTCCCAATATTCTCCTTTAGATATAAGGATTCCTTAGAAACCACCTCTGGCATATCAGGAACCATCACTGGGCTCCCAGGCAAAGTATCCGTTGCAGCATCAGAGGCCAAATTTGATAATCCATTCAGGTTTTGATCAAATAAATCAGGAACTTCAGCAACCTTATCAACTTCTGCATCAGTAACAGTTGATAGATCGATATTTTGTGATGCCAGAGCTTCCAAGGAGGTGCTTCCATGGTTTATTCCATTTAGATATTCACCTTCTAGTTCATGATTTAGAATATAAGATCCTAGCATATCTGAATCTGCCACATATTTTAGATCATCAGCCAGAGGGCATGACCTGCTTATCTCATTTGCTAAGCAAGCCCAGTTTTCATGCTCATCAATACTTTCATTTGGAAAACCCCGTGCTATATCATCAAAACTATCTGGGTATGGAGGAAAAGTAGAAGGATCCTGGAAAGCTGATAAGTCAGGTGCTTCCTCAACAGGAGAATATATGAATTTTGTAGCCTTTGTTTTGAAAGACATATCTGGAATACGATTATCGTCATGGGCATAAAAGCCTTGCCTTTCATCAATGAAGAACCTATCTTCACCAAGTTTCCTCAATTGGTAAAGCATTCTGCTGCCTACATAAGTTATCTGCTAATAAAAAGATCTAAATGAGATTACTAAGCTTCCACAATCTACAAAATTACATATCAATTTAAATCTACTAAAATACTAGCATACATGTAACTATCCAAGCTTAATACAGTTGACAACACCTAATGAAAAATTCAAAGGAAAACTCAAAAACATTTAACCGAGCTGGAACAATCCAAAAATGTTTATCTTGCTACTATAGCTTTAAAGCATAAAACAAACTACATTAGTCATTAGAAGTCAACACCAACTATTTGCCAAATGCAAAATTCGTGATATAATATAAGGTAACATACATAATCCTATTAATCCATGGAAAGAACTGAACCAGATGAGGTAATATAGCATTTATATGGTACTAGAGCACCTAGAGGAGGTGATTGAAAAACTTGTAGAGAATGGAAGCATAGAAGAAGGAGAACATAGCAACAAAAATCTACAAGAATGTACATTTGAGGAGCTTGCATGGCTGAATGAAATGGTACGTCAAAATTTCACTATGAAGAATTTCTAATAGTAATTTTCAATTTAAAATATGTATAGTTTCATTTTTTTCTTTTCAGTTCTTTTTTTTTTCTTTTGCAAGAAGGGAACCCAACTTGTACTAAGGGCTTATTTATTTAGCATTAAGTGATTAGAATAGGTGAAGAACAGGGTTCCATAACTCTATGTCATCCTTTGTTTGATAGAAAGTGAGGATCTTGAGTTCTTCTGCTGGAACTCTTATCATAAATTTTAAAAATCATTATGGGCTTTCCCATACTTTTATCAGAAGCTGTTATCAAAGTGCATTTTATGTCAAAGTTCTTCCAAACAATTCATGCAAGACCAAACCATCCATAAAATGAAAAGCTATAATACATGCAATAGTAAAGGAAATAAATCTTACTATCAAACTAGACCAGGGAGAAATCCCTGAGATAATTACTTTCAATTTTAGTTGCAGTAAATTTGTATGTTGTATGTACTCAAAATTTAGTTGTTCAGCAATTCAAGGAAACAGTATTCCACTTTTGCGCCAGAAGCATGACAAGGGGCAGCTTTCTTTCCTTATTTTTCTGGAAACTCACCTTCAAATGGTACTGTATTCATTAAGATGAATGTAATATATATTGTAGAAAACAAACTTCAGGATGGACCAGTAAACTACTAGTGTGATAAGTATTACCAAGCAATAGGACCTTCAAAACCAGCCATTGAACAAGCCAACATTATAATGATCTTCAAAGAGTACTTACTAGTAAGCCCTTGCTTGCATGTTAGAGTTTCAGTGGAAAGAGGTGAAAACTGTTAAAATTTGCAAATACATGGCTTTACAGTTTACTAATCAATGCAAAAAATTGCATAAATTTCAGTTTTTCCATCAATTTCCAGCAAACTAAACGCAGTCTAGACACAAAGCACAAGCAGAATTTTCCACTATTGCATAAGCTCCAGAACAACTTTTACTTTACTTTCGAAGAGAATAAGATACAAGTGACGATTTAGAATTTCCTTCACAGTTTTCCCATCAAAAAAGTTAAAATATCAAAGGAACAGCAGAATAAGCTTTATCCGTATCCAAGAACAACAGCATTACTCAGGCTCAGCCAAGGAAAACCAAAATGCTCTATGGTAAAATTTAAAGGAAAATAAACAAACAAATCAACAGAATTACGCAAGAAATAGTGGAAATAGGGCTAAAGTTGCAACTTGGCAATGCATCAAAACACAAAGAAAGCCGAACTCACATGATGAAATGAAGAACAGCAAGGCGCAGCGGAGCAGACGGGAAGCATGTTGTCTAAAATTGGAAATCAAACAAGAAAAGACAACCCAGATGCAAGATAAGGAAGCCTTTACAAACTCCGCACGAACCGAGAGAACTGGATAACTCGGCTCTATCGCTACTCTAGAACTTCATTTTGAATGACTGCCAGCGAAGGATTGAGGTTTTGCTCCTCCCGAACATTCTTATCTGATATAATATCGAGGAAAGCGATTCCGGAAATAGTGAGTGTGGCGATTACGGTCAGCGATGGATCTTGTGGCGCCGCGCGCCATTGGTTCTCCACCACGAGAGTGCTTTCTTGTTAAAGCCCTCACAGCCTCTCAATATCAGTCAGACACGCAAGCAAAGCATGGGCCTACTTAATAAAGTTGAACTTATTAAGTGTAGAGTCTCTACACAGTTTTTTTTTTTCTGTAAATATCGTCAGTCTGTACATAGGGTGTTAATTATTGATCAGATCCGATAATCCGATCGGAACCCGATTCAAAAAATATGGGTTAGGGTCACCCGTTTAGCAAAAGGGTTTGATTCGGGTTTCGATTTTCTCTATCCGGTAACACGAAATTGACCCAGTTGCCAACCCGCCTTGCATATCACATCCGCGACTAGCACTCCGGGTCTCCGGTTTCCACAGTCTAAGGGTTTGATTCGGGTTTCGATTTTCTCTATCCGGTAACACGAAATTGACCCAGTTGCCAACCCGCCTTGCATATCACATCCGCGACTAGCACTCCGGGTCTCCGGTTTCCACAGTCTTGTTGACCTGCTGTGTAACAAAAAAAGAGAAAAAAAAAAATCAAATCAAATCTCACCTGCCCTCTGTGGAAACACGTCGCACAACCTACGCACGTCGTCGCCTCTCCTCGCACGATCTCGCGTCAATTCTTCCCACGTCGCCCACACGACTCGCTTGGCGTCGTTAAAAGCGAACGAGGAAGAGGCCTTCGGCCTCCTCTCGCGATCCTCTCTCGCAAAAATCCCCTCCTCTCGCGATCCTCTCTCGCTCTCAATCTCTCGCCCTCTCCAACTCCTTGGTGGCCGAACGACTTCGCTTCTCCAACGACGTTCCCTGCCTATAGGATCGGAAGCTACGGCAGTTTGATTGGACGGAGCGACGGAAGCTCGTCGCCCCTCGGCTCCTGCGTGCTGTTCGACTTCGCTCCTCCTACGACTTTCCCTTTCCAGCCGGATCGGAAGTTCCGACACTTTGATCGGAAGCAACGGACGGAGCCCGCTCGCTGTGGAGATAACCTTCTCCCCTTCAAAGCTCCTCCGCCTCCCCCTCTTTGTTCGACCACGCTTCCTTCTCCTGTCGGAAAGGAAGTTACGACATTTTGATCGGGCGCAAGCACGAACGGGAGCCCGCTGGAAGTGAAGGTAACTTTCTCCCCTTCACGCACTTGTTCGGCCAAATCCCGCAATCCGTCGAACTAGAGGAGTAAGGGGAGAAGGGATTTTTATCTAATTTTGTTTTAATTTATTATTATTATTATTATTATAATTCTTATTAATTATGTTTAATAATTAATTAATTATTATAATAATTAATTATTCGATTATAATTAATTTATAATTATTAATTAATTATTAATTATAATTAATCGTTGATTAATTATAATTATGATTAGTTTATTAATTATAGTTAATTATTAATCATTAATTAATTATAAATAATAATTATTTAATTATTATTATTATAATTAATATAAATTATAATAAAAAAATGATAATGATGAATTGTAAGTGTGCTTCTCCCGCCTCGGTCCACGAGCCGCAGGCGACTCTCCACCGGCCCCGAAGGTATAACCCCCTGAACTCAGATGTTGAAAAGAGCTCAACCTTTATGTTATTTTCTCTTCTACCTTTAAACTTACACTTCTTCAAAACACATACACTGTTATAGCTCATATTTTGACTCAGTTAAATAATATTTTAGAATTCATTACAAATCCAATTTGCAAACAATTTTTGTTATAATATATTTGTGTGCTTTAATCATAATAATTTTCTTCTAAATTTATTAATATTGTATAAAAATGGCATATATAGGTACAATTATAATTTTTAAAATCTTTAGGTATTCGTTCTGCAAATCTAACTCATCAAATTTTTTTAGATATGTACTATTTTATGAATATATTTTAAATATTTTTTAGAGCCTCAAATTTAAAGATATAAAATAATTTATATGAATTTTATATTAAAAGTTAAATAAATTGCATAATTACCATTTACCATTATACATCCTATTATTATTTTATTATCAAATATCTTATTCCACTATTAGAATCCATTAATTAAATGGGCCCTTTCTCGATCCATTTGACTTAACAAAGAGGAGAATAGGGAATTTAAGAAAAAAATAGAGTAGAGAGAAAAGAAAATCTTGGGTTTGGAGATCATAGAGTGATTGTTGTTAGCCAGTCTAGTTAGGATAGTCTAAAAGTTTGCTACCGTTACTCTATCTTTGATTTCAATACTTTTGTATATTTTTTTATTTTATAAATTTTAATTTGGTTAAAACTTACAAAAGCAGCGATATCTTTATTTTTAGCAAACTTATATCATATAATTTTTAGTATGTTATTATTGACATGAATATATATATATATATATATATATTATCGGAATTTTTTGAATTTTGGTGGACATTTCCTAATTTGGAAAAGTTATATAAATATGAAAATTGGTTAAATAATTATCAAAATCTCATAATATCAGTGTATAACATGCTTACTTGTTATAATGGGCATTCAAATAGTGAAAAAAGCACACTTTTTTTTTTTATAAATTTTATTGATTTTGGTTCATATGAAAATTTTACATACATTACTACGATACAATGAGTTGAATATTTAGCATAATATTACTTATTTATTATATTATATATATATTGTAAAATATGTGTACGTAAGAAATACTTATCTTGAAATGATTGACTAATTCTAATTAGCTAGAGACATGTTATTATGTACAGAAGGGTGTGCCAATGAATTTTCCTTTAAAATAAGATTTATGGTATAATTTTAAATAATAGATTAATATTATATGAAAACAACCTAACCTAAATTATTTGTAATATTTTTTATTCATGAAAATAAGATTGATATGATTGATACTGATTAATATAGAGTTAGCCTACAGGATTAGATATAGGAAAAATATCATAGATATATATATATATATATATATATGAATTATATAATTTATATGATATACATGCATATCATAGACATAGTACAACATGCATGCAATAATGACAAATGTATTGATATAATAAGATATTATATAAACTATTTTACAACTATTGATTATATTATTGACAAAGCATACTGGTCATTTTTTACTTAGTTACTGATTATTGTTCTTAAGATATACATGGTTAATTGTATTGATATTTATTAATCATATGATATGTTACTGTTTTATTTATTATTACATGCTTTTATAATTATATATTCATAGTGATAGTAATTGAATTATTACATGCATATTGTCCATATTATCTTGCATTGATTTCAATTATAGGTTATGTTAATATACCAAAAGAAATTTAATGATTACATGCATATCATCCATATAATCTTGCATTGATTTCAGTTGTAGGTACTGAGTTGTTAACTCACTTTGTGGTTTTATATATTTTCAAGAATATATCAAAATCTAATGGAGTGAGGACATATATGAGATTCAAGTTTTATTTTATTTCTAAATTTTCTTTAGTTTAATTATTTTGTAGTTAAGATTTAAAAGATAGATTAATGAATGTATGGATTGAACTTTTGGTTATTATACATGAATTTCATGAGATGGATATAACTTTATATTTTGATGTATATGATTTTTAGTTGTTTATGATGGATTGATTTATATTATTGAATTAAATCTCAAGTTAGTTAATTAAGATATTAAAATAGGCTATTATATTAAAATTTGATATTGGGGAGTTACACACACACATACACACATGTTGAGATAGTTGCTACTTAGCTTTGCATGTTCGACATTCATGCAACTTATATATTTTGATGATTCAAAATATTAATGTTTTTTATTAGTATTTTCTCCTAACACATTTTGAAAGAATTATTTTTGCTCTTGTATGTACTAACATTTCTTAGAAACCATACTCCAAATTGTTGAAGACTTCAAATCAAGATCAAATTAGAATGTTTTGTAAATTGAAGTTAATATTTTTTATTTTATTAAGTATGAGAGAGTGTGATTGTAATTGAGTAATTAAGCACATACACACTGGGGGAGAGTTTTAAAATTCATATTTTGTAACTGATCATACTATATGATACCCGTTCGTACGGGACGATCTGGTTAGTTATTTTCTTGAATAAGCAATGGAATAAACAGGAATGGCAAAATTTTTTTCTAAGTATAGATCGTACGGACGATATTTTCCGTTCGTCCCAGAACGATCTCCTCTATTTTTTGCCAAATATACAATTTCTCCTGACAATATTTTTTGTTTGTCCCAAGACGATCTCCTATGTTTTTGACAAATACATTGTTCATCCAGACGATATTTTTCGTTCGTCCCAGGACGATCTCCTCTATTTTTGCCAAATACACAGTTCGTCCCGACGATATTTTTCGTTCATCCCAGGACGATCTCCTCTATTTTTGGCAAATACACTATTTGTCCAAACGATATTTTTCTTTCATCCCAAGACGATCTCCTTTGTTTTTGTGAAATAAACAGTTCATCCAGACGATATTTTCCGTTCGTCCCAAGACGATATCCTATATTTTTTCCAAATACACAGTTTGTACGGACAATAATTTTCAATCTTATCGGGACGAAATGCTCTGTTTTGTATATTTGTAGTTCGTTCTGACCTTTCATAGCAACGAACTTTGAAAAATAACTGTTCGTACCGAACAAACCCAGTTCGTACGGGACGATGATCGGGTATGAAGGCAGTTCATATCGATTCACATTGAGTTCGTATGTAACAGTGTTTATACTATTCGTACGTACACAATACAATTGTGGACGGTCAAATTTGAAAAATGCAGTTTTGTGGACAGTTTTTCATGTCTTTTCTATAAAAGGTCCACTTAAGACTGTCATTTAATCTTTTTATCATTTGGTCTTCGTGATTGGTAAAGAGTGATTGAAGGAGAGAGTGTGAGAGAATGTTTGAAGGAGATTTCTTCCTATTGGAGCGTGAAGGGTTCACAAGGTTACTCGACGGTAAGTATCTTTGTTTGTGATTTGTGTTTTCTTCACTCTTTCTCTTTTCATTCTAGATTGCTCGAGTGAAGATCTTTCAAGAAGATTCGGTTCTCTGCCGACACTTGGATAGTGTGAACATCGGAAGGTTCTCTGCCTACACTTGGAGAGTGTGAAAAACGAAAGGTTCTATGCCTACACTTGGAGAGTGTAAAAGGACGAAGGTTCTCTTCCTACATTTGGAGGGTGTAAAAGGATGAAGGTTCTCTACCTACACTTGGAAAGTGTAAAAGGATAAAGGTTCTCTGCCTACACTTGGAGTGTGTAAAAGGATGATGGTTCTTTGCCGCACCGGGGATTGGTGGAAGAGAGTTTTGTAAAGGCTTCTCCGCCTTGCTGTGGGGACAAAAGGAGAGTCACTTTTGTATAGTGCAATACCTGAAGTGGGAGACTTCGGGGAGTGGATGTAGGTCATGTTTGATTGAACCACTATAAACTCTTGTGTCTTTTTATTTCTGCTGCCTTTTTATTTACTGCAAGTTTTAATTTTTTTGTGGTTGAAAATTTTATTTTTGAAAAACTTAAAATTAACTTGCTACAAATCATTAAATCAGTTTCATTTTTAACTATTTCTTCACTCTTTTCTTTCATAATCCTCTATTTATGAAGTAATTTCTCTTGGTCATTCACTCATTCAATCTTTATCCACATTTTCACCTACAATAATTAGTGAATTTTGATCATTAGCATTTTAAAGCTCTCTTAAAGATATATAACAAGATAATAATTTTAATGAAGAATAAACATCCTTCCAACTCAACATGCCTCCTTGTGTTGCTAACTCAAGTAAACATAGCAACAAAACTTTCACTCCACCCTCTAAGATGTGTATTGTAAACTAAATTAAATTTTAACTTCAAGATACAATCTTAGCCTTCCACATGTCACTCCTAAGGGTATAAAGTATAAACACATATATCAATAGCCGAGTAGCTTGCATTATTTGATGAATGCTTTGACAAAAGAAATATCTCATTACAAGATTGTTCACTTCAAAATACTTTATGAGCAATATTGGTGGATGCCCCCTTTACATTATACAAAACCAACCCTCTAAGGATAGGGTTCCCCTATAACTCAAAACCCTTCTCATGGCAAAATTAAACATTTCTTTAATTATTTAGCTTAATTACCTACAACATGTCAATGCTTACAAAAATTGAGGAGCTTCCATTATATGTTCTAAAAATGAATAAAAATGCTTTATCATTATGCAATTCATTTTGTTGAGTTTTAAAATCGAAGTTTCTTTTAAATAAGCAAGAAAAAAAATATATGATCTATTTCATTTTTGTTTATTTATGTGGCATCAACTCTAAGATAGTTAAGGATTTCACTTCTTGACTATGTTGTCCTCTTACATGTAACATGTTAGTTGTTAGTGTGGGCTTCGAAAGATGCCCAATGAGGTTAATGGCTCATAAAACTTCAAGAGATAGAAAATTCACTTTTTATGAGTTTAATGGAAGGTGGTTGAATATATATGCATACATATATATACTTGTCTTTTAAATATCTTGTACATAATTTGACTGACCACTTACAATATGCTTAAGAATTTTTTTCTTGTTGTAGGAGATAGCAAAATTTTGTTAAAAGACTCGAACTCAAGACCTCTTAGTTGGAAGCATAAGGTCTCAACCAACAAGTCAAGGTGAGCTGTGTCTTGACTCCAATTAGCAAGAGGGCATTCCCTAACATTTCAAATAAGGCTAAAGAATAATAATGCAAAGAAAAATAAAGAAATAAAAGACTCTCAAACGAAGGTAAATATTTAAAACTTAACATTTAAATATTAATATTTAATAGTTAAATTTTAAATTTTAATCATGCATATGAAAACGAAAATTTTCAAATTTGAAGTTAATATTTAAATTTTCATGTTGGTTGAATCTTTTCTGGCCCTTGATCTTAATCTTTTGGTGGGGCCATCCTGATCATTCATCTCATAGTGAGACTTCATCTTGTTTTGATAGTTTAGCTATTATAATTTTCTACTTGATATTTTCCATCAATGGGGATCTTATTAAAGCTTAGATTTCAATACCGAAGTTGAAATCCATTAATAAGCAACATTTATTGAATATACATGCTCGAGTATAGACTCGAGTTCGAACTCGTAGCTCAATAAACTCGTCTCATGAGCTGATTCAAAAGTCGAGTTAGAGTCAGTTCGGCTCACTTACACCCCTAATGAGCAGAAATTATTCTATGCGGGGATCCGGCGAGAACCGTCCGAATTTGTTGGGCTTTAGCTTTCCTTTTTCAGACTTTTGGAATACTCAGCAAAATGACAGCTAATATGCAATCATGAATGCATATTTGCAGCTCTTTTGCTGTGGCAAATATACCTTCATTATTGCATATTAGCTGTCTTTAGCTGAGCATTTATAAAAGCGTAATAAAAGAATATAGCAAATTTGGACGATTCTCACCGTCCGATTTCCTCACAGAATAATTTCTATCTAATGAGCAACATCCAATTATATTAATATATTTATCTTTTCTCCTCATGCAGCAATTCGTTCTACAAAGATTTGAGATTGAGAAGCCCTCAGAACAGTGAAAACGTTTCGGACCGGTCACCCTGTACATATTTTCCTCGCCCCCTGCTTTATATTCGTCATGGATCATGCATTCCTGGCGGCACCGCCTCCTCTACCGCCACTTCGCTTCCTCTCTCCTTCCGTCGTCTTCCTCCAAACCCCTCCACTCCGTCTCTTTTCTCTTCTTTGACCCTGAACAGGTCTCCACCTCTTGCTCTTCTTCCGATCTCTCATCAATATCATCCCTTCTCTTCTCTGCCCCATCCCTCTCCGCCACTACCCAAATCCACGCTCACCTCACTAAATCCGGTTTCCTCTTCTCCATCCACACCCTTCGCCACCATCTCATCTCCTTGTATTCATTCTGGCGCTTCCCTTCGTACGCCTTCAAATTGTTCGACGAAATTCCCCAACCAGGCGTGATATCATGGTCCTTCCTCATCTCTGCTTACACCCGCAACGGTCAATGGCGGGAATCTCTGCTTTCTTTCTCCAAGATGCGATCTTCCGGCGTTGGTTGCAATGAGTTCACTCTTCCATCTGTTCTCAAGGCCTGCTCGGCCTTATCGGATTTCAGTACCAGCATTCAAGTTCACGCCATTGCAATTCTGACCGGATTTGAATCCGACCCATTTGTGGCAAACACTCTTATAATGTTTTACGCTGATTTCGGCGAGATCTTGGACTGTCAGAAGCTGTTTGATGCTATTTCTGGCCGAAATGTGGTATCTTGGAACGCATTATTTGCTGCTTATGTGAAGAACGACCAGTGCGAGAAGGCTGTTGAGTTTTTCAGGAAAATGTTGGTGACTGGAACAAGGCCAAATGAATATGGGTTTTCTATTATCTTAAATGCCTGCACGGGCTTGCAGAATTTAGATTGTGGGAGGATTGTTCATGGTTTTCTTACTCGGCTTGCTTACGAATCCGACCGATTCACTGCTAATGCACTTCTGGATTTGTATGCAAAAGTAGGTGATACTGAGTCTGCCGCCCTGGTTTTTGAAGAGATATCTCAGCCTGATTTAATTTCATGGAATGCTTTCATATCAGGTTGTGTTCTACAGGGGAAGGACACTCTAGCTGTGGAACTGTTTTATAGAATGAAAGAATCAGGAATGCTAGCTAATGAATTTACTCTATCCAGTGTCCTGAAGGCTTGTGCTGGGACTAGTATGTTGGATTTGGGTCAGCAGATACAGGCTTATATGATCAAATCTGGCAGTGATTCCGATATCTTTGTCGGTGTCGGTCTTGTAGATTTGTATGCAAAGTGTGGGCAGAGCGAAGACTCATTGAAGGTCTTCAATTTGATGCCAGTGCGCGATTTGGTTGCATGGAACGCCGTTATCTCTGGTTACTCTCACAACGGTAATGACGCCCAAGCGCTGTCACTTTTTTCGACGATGAGAAAGGATGGACTTGAATTTAACAGAACCACTCTAACTGCAGTTCTTAAATCTGTTGCTAATTCACAGGCATCTAAAGCTTGTAAACAAGCTCATACTCTTGCCATGAAAGCCGGGCTTCTCTTGGACAATCATGTTGTAAATGGCCTTGTTGATGCTTATGGAAAGTGTGGCTACTTAGAAGATGCAGGAAAAGCCTTCCAGGAATGTCCATTTGGCGATATAGTCTCCTTCACATCAATGATAACCGCTCTTTCTCAAAGTGGACAGGGTGAGGAAGCCATGAAACTCTTCTGCGGGATGCTCGAAATGGATCTAAAGCCGGATTCATTTGTATGCAGCAGCCTTCTTAACTCTTGTGCAATCCTATCTGCCTCTGAGCAAGGCAAGCAGATTCATACTCATGTGGTTAAGATGGGTTTCATGCTTGATAATTTTGCTGGTAACGCGCTTGTAAACATGTATGCCAAGTGTGGAAGCATAGAGGATGCAGCCTTGGCCTTCTTTGAGATTCCTGAAAGGGGAATTGTGTCATGGTCTGCAATGATTGGAGGTCTGGCACAGCATGGTCATGGAAAGAAGGCCTTAGACTTCTTCTATGGAATGCTCAATGAGGGTGTGCCTCCAAATCACATAACACTAACAAGTGTTCTCTGTGCTTGCAATTATGCTGGTTTGGTTACTGAGGCTGAGAAATATTTTAACTCGATGGAGGAGATGTTCGGCATCGAACGAACCCTCGAACACTATGCATGCATGGTTGATATTCTTGGTCGTGCTGGTAGATTGAGTTCGGCGATGGGGCTTGTTGAAAGCATGCCATTTGAAGCAAATGCTGCGATTTGGGGCGCACTGCTTGGTGCTTCCAGAGTTCATAATAATGTTGAAATAGGAGTAAAAGCAGCTAATATGCTCCTCATTCTTGAGCCAGAGAAGTCTGGAACACATGTGATCCTTGCCAATATTTATGCATCTAATGGTATGTGGAAAGAAGTTGCTAGAATGAGAAAATTGATGAAAGAAACCATGGTGAAAAAGGAGCCCGGGGTGAGTTGGATTGAAGTGAAAGATAAAGTCCACATCTTTTTTGTGGGTGATAGAAGCCATGAGAGGAGCAAAGAGATATATGCAAAGCTGGAAGAGTTGGGTGATTTGATGAACAAAGCTGGGTATGTTCCTATGGTGGAAACTGACCTCCATCATGTGGAAATGTGGGAGAAGGAGATTCTTCTTCTACAGCATAGTGAGAAGCTTGCAGTTGCCTTTGGGCTAATAAGCACTCCAGCGAGTGCCCCAATCAGAATTATGAAGAACCTTCGGGTTTGTAGAGATTGCCATGAGGCATTCAAGTTTATCTGTAAGATTACTATGAGGAAAATAATTGTTAGGGACATCAACAGGTTCCATCATTTTGAAGATGGATCATGCTCTTGTGGGGATTACTGGTGATAATACTATTTGATCTTGTTTTTAGAGCCTAGAAGATATCAGCATTGGTTTGATACTAATTTCCATGGATTTTTTTAATAGAAAAAACACAATCTTTCTGATCAATGGTAAATTTTTAGGATTTTATTCTTTGTTCTCCACAGTAGATTTTGTTGAACATCTTGAAGGCTTTTGTCATTTACAGATTCGTGTCTGTGTATATTGAAGTTCAAAGTTTCTTCGTACTGATAATGTTTTTAACTTACAGCAGTTCTGTATAGGTTTGGTTAAATACAATATTACAGCAAATCAAAAAAGAACAACCCTAACTTTCTGCTAGCCTAAGTTACCAATGATTGCAAAACAGGCGTGACTTGATGTTTGGGAGTACGCCACTAAGCTAAGCACTTAGCATCCACTAATTAGTTTTAATCAAAAGTATTTTCTCATCATACTGAGAGGTAATTAGTAATATGACTTGTGCCTATAAAAAACATAAATCGTGCCATAAAGTCCTATAAAATAAGGGCAAAATAAAGGGCAAAATCTCTTAATAGTATCTTATTTGTAATATAATATGTTTTCTAAAAAATTAATCAAATATAAACTCTCTTAGAAGAGTTGAGCTTGTTGGATTAATTGGAACCTCAGGATCAACAATGCCCTTAGGGAGATCAATCTATTTACTTGGAGAAATTATTCTGTGCGGAGACCGGACGAAAAGAATCGTTTGGATTTACTGCGTTTTTACAAATAGTCTCAAAAGGTCAGCAAATATGTATTTATAATTGTATTTTTGCTGTCCTTTTGCTGAGTATTTGCGCAGCAAATATGCTACTAATTGAATATTTATTACCCTTTTGTTGCGCTTTTATAAATACTCAATAAAATGGCAGCAAAAGTGCAATTATGAATGCATATTTGTTACCCTTTTGCTATGTATTTGCAAAAGCACAACAAAATGGCAACTAAAGGGAAGCAAATCCATACGATTCTCGCCATCTGGTATCCGTACATAATAATTTCTCCTTGGCACCTATCTTTAATTTTACTGTCCTTAAAGGCAACTTCGATTATAAATTTTAACTATATACTTAATCTTTTGTAGAAGTATCGGATTCTTACATTTGTTAGTGTGGAAGAAAGGAGAAGCTAATCTAGAAGAATTTCAACTTTGAAATTAGTGGAGTATTTCATCCCATTGATAGAAAGGCTTTACAAAGCAAGAGATAAGGAAGGAAATGAATAGAAAAGAACCTCTCTAATGTTTCGTTTGGGACGACTTTTTTACTGTTTTTTAAATCAAATTTCTAATACAAAAATTAAAACTTTTGTATTAAAAAGCTGCTTTAATAAACGATAAAAAAGCAGTTCCAAACGAAGCCTAACACTCATATTTAAAGACTTTCCGTGACGTTCTATCTATGAAAATGTCAATACAATGCAATTAATCATAATTTATGTGTTAGCTCCTAAGGATACATTCTGAATGTTAATCATATTTTTTTTTTTTTCTTGTAAGAGTATCTTTAAAGAGAGAAGAATGGTGCACCAAATATACACCTTAGCCAAGTTCAACCAATTTCATTGAACATAATAGATTGGAATCATGGCTGTTCAGCTACATAAGAAATTAATAATATGTACTCAAATGGCTATATGCTAACTAAGTTCATTTTATAGTGAGCGCTTACTAAATTTTACTATATAATTTGATTAATTTCACATTCATTGGCCACTTTTTTATTTGTTAATTATGTATTAAACCCAAGCCTATGAACAGGCAATCAAAGACTTGGACACATTAAATTAGGGGTGTCAATTTTTGACACGACCCGAAACCCGACCCGAACCCGACCCGAAAAAATCCGGGTTTGGGTCAACCCGAACCTGAAACGGGTCGGGTTCGAGTTGACCCAGCAACCCGAAATTGAACCGAAAGTGACACGAAAACTCATATTTCACCCGAAAACTCGAGATTGGCCCATTTTGACCCGCTTTTTACCAGAAAATTGAAGATTGACCTAATTTTTGACCCGAAAACTAGCAATTTTGGGTCAATCCCGGGTCATTCGTGTCGGGTCGGGTTGACCCGGACCCGAATCAGTTCGGGTTCGGGTCCGAAAACCGGACCCGTTTTTAAAAACGGGTCGAGTTCGAGTTGACCTGAATAGTGCCGGGTCAATTTCGGGGTAGACCCGTTGACCCGAATTGACACCCCTACATTAAATCATTAGCTTCAACTTTATCCTTCATGACAATACGATAAAATCTCTATGTTTCTATCTCCATATTCTCTTAATTTTAATCTAATTTTATTAATGAAATACTAATATCACCCACAAACATATTTAGGGGCTATTTGGTTGAAAAACCAGTATAGTGTAAATAATTTTAATTCATTTTTAAAGTAAACCAAACAAACTCGCTCAATTTTGAGCGAGAACTATTTACACTACAAACAAGCTCACTTATTCACCGCCACTCACCAGCCAACATTGGCCGCCGGCCATGATGCCGCCGCCGCCTCCACTCGCCGCCGTCCACCACAACCACCGATAACCGCCGCCGACCATCATTGAAAACTACTGCCGCCGCGCCCACACCAACTGCCATTATTTTTGAACTTTATACTAAATTCATTATTTCAAACCAAATAAAAAAAAATCATTTACTTTACATTCATCCAAATAACTTCAGAATATTTATTTACACTGAGTTCATTTTTTAGCCAATCAAACAAACCGTTATCCAACCAACATCCTAATGTACATATTAACAAATAAAAAATTATACCAAAATACATGTATAACTCATATACACATGAAGTTAGAGTCAATCTCAAGCTTGTTTCATTTGATCCAGCCCTAACTCAAATTAAATTCAATCTGACAAAGATCTAACTCGTCAACCAGCTCCTTGTTTCTGATATGGAAAATATTTGCAAATCCAAAATCATTTAACTTATTTAGCGATCACCAATCTTCAAGTCAAATTCAGTCCTATTAGTAGGTTCATTTGATACTATTTTACTATGATGCAGGCCATGATCAAATAAAAAAAAATTTTTTTGATGCAGGCCATGATCAAATCTAAAATTTTCAGCAATAATTTTCAAAATCTTTGTCAATTTGACTTGTTTACAACCACAATGTAGATTTACTGCACTGTAAAGCAGGCTTTCCAGCAAGATAGTTCAAATGTAAAATTTATACATTTCTATAAAACTTGTATCATTAGCTGCTGCTTTCTCACATCTTTGTTTCTCTATATCTCACAGAAGTTCCAGCTCAAAAGTAATAAGAATTTGTTTCTTAACAAAAGAATTAATATAACCGAATCCACATAGTTGGGAGAAATTTTTCTGTGCGGAGTCCAGACGGGAAGAACCGTCCAGACTGTGAATGTACACACTGTGTATACTGATTTGATATACATTATATATAAATATGTACATAATGTGTACACTCACATATTCGGACGATTCTTCCCGTTCAGATTCTGCACAGAATAATTTCTACATAATTGGATACATGTTTGATGTTGTTATTGTTAGTTACAGTTCACAGACAAGGCTTGGCTTGAGCTACTCATGGTTGAATTGAAAATAGAAAATAATGAATAACTTGCTTAAACTTTTAGAGCAGAAAAAAAAGGCAAAACAATTAACCTCTGTATAGGCATGTCTCTGGAGTTACCACAGAACGTACACAAGACTTTTATATAATAAAAAGTTCAGTTGGAAGAACTGCAGCTAATAACAAGAAACCAAAACGGACCATCCTTAAACAACAAATCAATTTCTAAAAAGTGACTATGCAGATAAACTTTAACATAGACAAAGAGGAACAGAGCATAAGTATAATAAGCAGGATACCATTTTTATATCACCATCACAAAAAGGTTCTAAAATTCCTCAAATCCTTCCTCATCACCTTCTTCATCAATCCTTTCAACATGTGACCTCCAGGCTTCCATCTATGAAATCAAGAACAGATATAATTTCGGATGAGGTTACTACATATAGATTCTATGTTGACAATACTTGAAAAGGGTCAAAAGAAGAAGCTATCATAGCAAAAAATTGATATCAACTTATTATAGCTAATTTCAGATAGTTTAATATAATTCGTAGGACAGAGTAGGGAATGGGGGAGAAAGCTGAATATCAACTTAGGCTTCGTTTGGGACGGCTTTTTTATTACATCTCAAAACAATTTTTTAGTATAAAAATTTTAATTTTATACTAAAAAACTGCTTTAAGAAGCAGCAAGAAAGCCGTCCCAAACGAAGCCTTAGCTATAAGCTTTTCAGCCGGATCACCTGGGCATCAGAAAGCCTCAACTGCCTTGCAACAAAAAGCACATTAATAGGCTTTCCTTCGGGTCCTCCAAGCACATTTCTTGCAACTTCATCGTAGTTCACTACACTGACTCTGAAGCCATGATTCAGGAAAAGCTTTTCCATCCACCTTTGTGTAGCAAGCTGCACGAAGGACCAAAAGTTTATCAGCAATAAAAAGGATAACAAAAGAAGACATGCAATCTGTAACTATATATTCATATGCTAAACTTACCTTATTATCAAGTTCAGTGCCGAGCAAGCAACCAGGCAATTCACCAATGAAAAGGCAGCCTTTCATGGCTAAACTGCTAACTGTAGATAATATATCCTCAAACTCAGCCAATGTCGCCAGTGGTAGCCCCTGAAATGAACGCAAGCCTCAAATGTTTTCCCAATCCTTAGAAATGACAGTTATGACATTCTTCTTGAATAAATATGAAGAAACGTATCTAGAACTAGGAAATCTAAGAGAAGACTTCCTCTAGTGCGTCACCTTTAACGCATTTTCTACAAAAAGACAACTGAACTAGCTCTATTTACTTTGTTTAGTATGCACATAAAACTTACCAAAAGAAAAGTGTTGGAGAAATTTTGTCATCCTCAATGGATTGTATATTTTGTGATCGAGCACGACATAGAAAATGATATATTGTCTCAAAAGTCAAAAATATCATTTTCCTATGGACTCAATGATAGAATCTACAATTTGAATTTTAAACAGAAATTTTCCCACATTCAATATTTAGCTGAATAGGATTTATTTTATTCTGGTGTACAAATGCTCATAAGGACAAACCCCTATAGTTAATTATATCTCAAGTATTTGATACTTGAGAAAACTTTTAATTAAACCAGTTATTTTCTTTCCTTTGAAGATCATCAAAATATTGACTACAAATCTTCATTTTGAAATTTACGAAATTCTTGTTTTTTTTTTTTCTTTAGGAATTTCAAGGATGAAGAGATCAACTTTAATTAGATTTTCGGAATGAGAGCCAAAGGAGTAAAGTATGGGCACTTGATTCTAAGGAAGCTCAGAAGTGCTCGGACTATCCTATATTAGGTTTTACGTTTTAGAATCAAATTTTATTTAAGTTGATTATTTTTATTTAGAATGTTAAGGCTTACATTCCAACTACACGTGTTGGAGGAAATGCCCAAAAGATGATGGCTTATTAAGTGACTTAAGTCAACAACTGCCTTGAACCCTAGAACTAAGATGAAGACTACTAAGGGGTAATGTCTCGAACCTAAGTCTAACAGAGTACAAAGAGACTTATAAACTAAACCTCACCTGAGACATAGCCAACCCAAACTCTGAATTTATCATTCTGCTTAGAAAGAGTTACCAGCTAAATCCACCGAAGCGCTTTTAAAATTATGAAATTCAGCCTCAATGCATATGAATAGTGGGAAATGTTATTTTATTTAAAGAATAGAGCTTATAACTTGGCTTTGAAGCCAAGACGCCAGAATATGTAGGTATGCACATGTTGACTCACATAATGCAAATTTTGTTATCTAATCCTTAAGTAGAAGATTTTGTACATGTGACACATTAGGTTTTGCATGATTATTTTCAATTTTGGAAAATTTAGTTCCTTGAAAGGAGCCATGCAATTTTTCTTTTCATTTGAAAAAATATGATTTCCTATGATTGATTTTAAGATTGTTTACATCTTAATGGATAGAAAAGATAGTTTTATCCTAAGAGCCTTCCACATCAAACATATCCAGGCCACACCCAAGCAAAGCAGAAGAAGAAACTGTTATGCTTGAACCGGCCCAGGAGGGGCCGGCTGGACCCGGTTCGACCCGGGTCTACACCAGGCAGAGGCGGAAACCAGGAAAGGAGGGGGGCGGACAAGGTGGGCCCTACTTGGGGCTGATTTGATTATGTGGGAGGAAAAATTTTGAATGCAAAGGGCTGTTTAGGTATTTGGTAGGAATCCATTATTGTTAATTAGGAGGATTAGGAGGGAAAGGGGGTTATCTTGAATTTGAATGTAATTGGAGATCTAGGGTTTCTTGCTTGGGCTCTTGGCGTTGCCGGAGATTGTCGGAGAGTCGTTCTTCCTCTCGAATCGAAGAACATTGTATCTTGCTTTTGTTTTGATCATCTACTAGTGGAATATAAGTCCATTGCTTGTGTTTCTCTCAGATTTCCTACAGATTTCTCTGTTTTCTACTATTTTCCTGCGTTTTGGGCTGATTTCCTGCTGAAAAACAGCAAATCTATTGCTGTTTTCCCCACTCAAATCGATAGGAATACTTGGATCTAAGTATTTCCTATCAAATTGGTATCAGAGCGAGATCCGGGCGGTGGAGGGCTGTTTTTTCCACTGTTTCGCTGCAGATTTTCGCAGATTTTGGGTTGTCGGAGGCTATTTTCCCCTGAAAACAGCAGTTTTTAGGATATTTGAGAGCAGCAGTTGAGTAAAACAGCAGGTTTTGACTGTTTGGAGCAAGGTTTAAAATTGCGTAAGTAAGCCTCGAGGCATTTTTCGTCTGTGAGGCGAGGCGTAAGCCACGAGGCGGTGTGAGGCGTAAGCCTAACCGACGAAGAATTGCGTAAATGAGAATTTAAGGGTTTTAGCAAGTAAAAAATAGTAA